TAGGTAAAAGTCACTAGACTGCCAATCCCAATTCTTCTTTGGCCTTTAACGACTGCTCCACAAATCTAACATCAGATAACAAAAGCAAACACTAATTTTTAAGGACAACCAACTTTCATGGTATCGTTAAGATCCCGTTCAGTGTTTAGGCGCTTGTATACCTCACCGATCCCGAGTATAGTTTCGTCGTGTATCATTGGAGTAAAAGAGAAACAATTATCTTTTGTATCTTTTACTCCAATGCTACACGACGATAGAATACTCGGGATCGGTAAGGTGTACAAGCACCTTTTAGCGTTGGCGGAAAGCAAAAACCAAGAGACTGACAAAGATATCTGTCCATCTCTTTCATCTCTCTTTAACTCTTTACTAGAAAGTTACTAAACATTCACTAGATTTCATCAAAGTGAAAAAATGTTTCTGCATACATGCATAGTGCATGCATGAGATAGTGTGACCGAAGCCTTATAAAGATTCTATTCAATCACTCAACCCAGACATATCTTCTCTCTTTAGTCAACTTGAACAATACTCGTTGGAATACTTTACACATGAATCAAAGTCATGGCTATTTTAGATTTGGAACAAGATGACAACATAGAAATCAACCATATGAATTTGTAAATAGTCAAATTACGCTAGTGGAAGAGATTCTGATGATTGTATGTCTCATTCAGTCGAATGATTAAATGATGTGGTCCCAGAAGAACAGAAGTCTATTTTGTGTTGACCTTAGGGAGCATTTACACCATTGCTGAAAGAAACAAAAATTTACCGACAAAAACTACCATATTTTGCGTTTGCGAACAAGTTTCCCGAATCAATTATGCGTTAGACTTTTCATTAATGGTTTTCTTTTGCGTTTTGTAAGTCGAACACAACTGTAAAAGAAATGAAGGTATAATTTTATCATTTTTTACACAATTTGCATTATTACAGAAAGTAACTATAATTATAAGTTAGACTAAGCAATAGGTTCCCTTCGCGAAAGGTCTAAGCAGAATAGATTCTTAATCGGGAACGTAAACAGAATTGCAATCGTAAGAATGAGTTGGATAAGGACAGATATACAGATGCGTCCTTCTCTTACTCGCTCTTATGATTGAATTTCTGTTTACGTTCCCGATTGAGAATCTATTCTGCTTAGGCTAAAGCAAGATACATGAGATGGAAAAGAATAGAGTATTCTTGTATTCTTTTCTATCTCATGAAGCACATTCACGAATCATTTGTGCGTAAGGCTTAACAAAATGCGTTGTCGATTAGGTGCGCGCGCAACAATTTTCAATTGTTCAAAATTTTAGTATAGACACCAATTGAAAATACTCAAGGTGCTTTAATACCTTCTTGCTTTTTTGCGAGCAATGAATTTTCACGGTCGAATTACTGAATTTGATTGGCTCTGTAAAATATTCCATTTCCATCATTTTTTAAGATTCGGACTATGAAAATGGAATATTTGATAGAGCCAATCAAATTCAGTGATACGACCGTAAAAATTCATCGCTCCGCAAAACAAGAAGGTATAAAGGAGGTTCTACAATAGCTGCAAAAGCCAAGTATAAGTGCAAGTCCAAGTACAATTCCCACTGGCCATTTCCGAATTGGGATTTTTAGCGCACTTTTGGTAAAGTGTATACTCGGGAAGTAAGCAGTGTATTTTTTTTCGCACGAAAAAACAAGGATACTCCATACTTCCCGAGTATACACTTTATCAAAAGTGCGCCAAAAATTCCAATTCGGAAACGGTCATTCATTAATCTATAGAAAAAAAAGCTGGACTTGCATTTGGCTTTTGCACCTATTCTGGAACCGCCTTTAAGGTGGTTCCAGAATAGGTGAAAAAGCCAAGTACAAGTACAAGTCCAAGTGGCAATCTTATGAGTGCAAAAGAGATAGGTAGTCTATCTATCTCTCTTGCACTCATGGGACTTGCATTTGGACTTGCACTTGTATTTGGCTTTTGCACCTATTCTGGAACCACCTTTAAAGCACCTTTAGCGACAGGGAAATTACAAGCGCCTTTAAGCTAATTCTACAAGAACTTTTTTTTATCAACATGAACAAAACCAACTATCGAAACATGCACGCGCATCATTTTAAGGCTGCTTCCACAACAGGGTTGCGCACGTAATATACGTCAGGTAAATTACAGAGTTTTATACGTATTTTACGTATGTAATATACGTGTCGAGTTTTCTACAAAACATAATTCACCTTTTCAAAATGGCGACGCTTTAAAATTGGCAAATCAAACCGACAGTGGCGCCGCCCTAGTGTATAGCAAGAGAACTAAATTTAGTGGGAACAAAATTTTTTAAATGCTTGGAAAAGCGAAAAATTATTTTAATAATTAATTCACTAATGGAGTGAAATAACTATTAGTGAATTAATTATTAAAATAATTTATCGCTTTCCCATGCATTTTTAACATTTTGTTCCCACTAAATCTAGTCCTTCCGCTATGCACCAGGACGGCGCCACTGTCGGTTTGATTCGCCAATACATCAGTTAAAGGCCTGAGCAGAATTGAAACGTAACCGGAATCGTGACCGCAACCATAAGAATGAGTTGGCCTATAGTCCTAACTGGACTATATATGGGATACAAAATAATAAGAAAAGAAACAAACAAATTAAATCGATGGCAATACAAACTTTCCTATTATGTTACAAGTTATCTATGAACTTAATTATAATTAAATTAAATTATTAAATTAAATTATTATTAAATTATAATTTAATTATAATTAAAATTAAAAAAAGAAAGATGATTTATATGTAAAACATATTCAAAATTTAACATATATTTAATTTAATTATTTTAAAGATTTTTGTCTCAAAAGTTTCAAAATATAATAAATTAAATCTTTTACCATGTTTTCATGTATATTTAAGAGAATCAAAAAAATTAAGTAATGATCTTCAAAAATATTAATATTTTCCTTTTATAGAGAGCGCTTTATCTAAACTTTAAAATTGTATTGAAATTTATCTTACAAAACCCATTAAAGTAGTAAAATTTTGATATTTAATTTGTACTTTATTGAAAAAATTTTTTTTTTTTATATATATTTGAAGATCTCTCAATTTTTACTAATTTTTAATTTTTCCCTGACTTGTAAAAATCCTACATTTTTGACATTTAATGAAAAAAATAAGTAAATATAAAAAAGTTGGACATATTTTAAACCAGAACTGATAAAAATTATTCAAAATAAAAAATTTAACTTTTTTTTTAAATTTAAATCACATTTCTTTTTACTTACGTAACATTTTTCAAAAATTTATTTTTAAATATTTTTATATTAAAAACTAAAAATATCCATCACTTTATGTATAAATTGTTGATTTTTAAAAAGAAAATAATTCCGAAACATTCAATGTTAAAAAGTTTGAAAACTAGAACTGTTTTCTTTTTTTTTTTTTTAGAAAATATTAGAATTTTTTTGTTTTAGCAAAATCTTTTCGGAATTATGAATTATTTAAGCTAAGGTTTCATAGAAGTAAATATGACGAAAATTTTGTTTATAACAGAATATGTAAAGAAGCATCACCGCGTAAAATAATCTGTAGATAAATGATACTACAGTCTAGTTACAATCGTAGTAATATTATTATTTCATTTTTTTTCGTTTTTTTTTTATTTTCTTTTATGAAAATTTTTTGTATTTTAATTTAAACAGTAAAAATTGTACGAAGAGGCAGTTTAATTTTCTGTAAGCCAGTTTATTATTATAAATAAATAAATAAAATAATTTATTAACTGTTTGTGATAGTTTTAAAGTAATATAAAGATTTTTAGGTAAATATTTCAAAAACTCATGTTTAAAATTTTTTTAATACTTAAAAAGGAAATAACTTTGGATAAAATATCGGTAAAATATATGCCAATAGATAAAAAAAATGCATTTTGAATCTTAAAACATACAAAATTAAGGGTAAAAAATAGATTAAATATTTATTTTTAACAAAATTAAAAAAAATTTCAATATAAACAATTTTTTAATTTCATTTAAATATAAATAAACCTTTAAATTTTAATCAAATTACAACTAAATTCCAGAAAGTCGCAAAAATTTTTGTATTCTATTAACTTGAAATTGAATAAAATCGAAATTTTCTAAAAGTCACTATTATTTAATAATATTATTTTAGTTAAAGAATAAGAAAAACTTATTTTAAACGTTTTAATAAAATTCCTGTTAATTCTTTAAACTTTACAATTTTTAGTTTATTTTTTTTTTTAAATTTGAAGATAATTTAATTTTTTAATTATTTTAATTTAATTAGTAAAATTATTTAATTTTAATTAAAATTAATTCAAGTTAGTTCTTGGAATTAATAATTAAATTATCCATTTATTATTATAAAGTTTATGATAAAAAGAAAAAAAGAAATTTTTTTAACTTTAAACAATTTGTTTTCGAAAAATTAATAAAGCTTATCGAACTACAAAAACGTCAAAACCACGAAAAAAAAAATCATATCTTTATGATTTATATATTGAAAAATTTCTAATTTTAAATACACTACAATAAAATAACAATCAACAGATAAATGAAAATTTTATACTTTTAACATTTGTCCACTTATTTTGTAAAAATCAATTTTGTAATAAACAATCAATTCTTATAAAATTAGAACAGAAATTCTTAATATATAACAAAGATAAAGCATAAATTGTGATAATATTGCCAAACAGAATCTTCTACAGTCAAACAATATAACCTAGATAAGATTAAATAAATTGCAAATAAAATACTGAAATTGTAAAAATTTAATTATTCAAATAGAAAAAAAAATACATAAGAACAAATTATATAACATTCTATTGATTAATATTCTTTGCTGGAAACATTGAGTAACAAAAATAGCAGACAAACATTTTGACAAAATCTAACCTCAAAATCAATATCAAATTTTTTAAACCAAAGTCTATCTGTATAAAGATAAGGAAGTAATGTAATAAAAGGAAATAAATAATTAAATAATTCTCACCTCTATGGAAGTACAATCAGATAGATCCTTTAATTTCAAGCAGTATGGTTCGGTAAACAAATCTCGCATTTCACCATTTTCAGTCAAACAAAGTCTACATCTTTCACGTAAGTTTAATAATTTCCGTTTTCGTGGCATTTTTCTAATTTATATCCAAATCGAAACTTGGTTTTAGCTTGAAAAATTACTTTATCAAAGTAATTTCATTAAAAACAATAAGATTTACAAATAATTTTTACTTGAAGTCGGACGCATACCGAAATCACCGAAATGGCGCCTTTAAAAAAAGTCTTTATGGTTTATTTTCATTGCGCTTTACCATAGAATAAATAGAAATTGTATTTCGTTAAGCTCACTTACAATGTGTTGTTTCATTTTTTTGCCGTAGCGTTTGTCAGTCGGATGGCGCACAGTTCACGAACGAAATGCATGAAATTTAAAATAGAAAAGGAGACAAATACAGCTGTATTCTTTTATCTCATTTATTTTGTTCATGAAAGGCCAAAACACAATGAATTGCTAAATACAATATTTTTATGTGCCGTCACCCTGTCTATCAGGTGGTAATTTTGTGCAGATTTTTATATTACCGACGTATATATAAATATAATAATAACACTGATATATATATATATATATATATATATATATATGTAAAATAAAATAAATATAAATAAAATAAAGTAAAATATTACCACCTGTTTTGAAAAATGACGTACACTCGTAACCAGATATGCTTACACATTTTTATCCTTTTCTAACAAACATGTTGCCATGACAACACATGAGTTAGAAAAGGACAAAAATGTGTAGGCATATCTGACCATGAGTGTAACATACTCTGTACGGGTAGTGTTCTAAAGACAGTAAATTACGTCAAGAAGAGAAAGAAGATTACGGTAATTTACCGGTAAATTACCGGATCGTTTTTTCTCTGAGAATTTATGAGAATTTTTACTTGTACTTTTATTCTTGTCTGACACGTGCGTTGTCATGACAACGTGTATGACGAGGATAAAAGTACAGACATATGTTCCTGACTGTACAATTATTATTATAATGAAAAATATCTTTGTTACAATATATATATATATATATATATATATATATTAATATTGATATAATATTACATTATTATATTGAATCAGGTACATTTATATGCCTGCACTTTTATCCTTGTCTGACACACATGTTGCCATGACGACGCACGTGTTAGACAAGGATAAAAGTGCAGGCATATATACCCGACTGTCATCTTGTCAGTAAGAACACAGAGAAAATTAGGGTGCAGTCCCATTATGGAGCAGATTAGCAGATTAGACGTTGACCAATAAAAAAACAGTCTCTAACGGAAATGCAAAATTTGCCGCAAGAGACTAACTTTTGATTGGCTGAAATCTATTCTGCTAATCTGCTCCATGGGACTGCACCCTTACAGTCTATTATATTCATTGTTCAAATTATTCATTTAATAACATGTCGGTCGTTTGTTTATAACTTACATACTATAAAAATACATATTTAAATTTAAAAAAGGCAATTATCAATCACTTAAATGAATATTCTCATAAATTCTCTTTTTTTCGGTAATTTACCGCAAATTTCTTTCTTACCTTCTCAGGTTTCAATTTTACCGAGAATTTTAAAACACTATGTACGGGATTAAAAGAGTGTAAAATAAGATATCTTTTTGTCTCTTTTACTCACACAGTTGAGAAAACGTAACCGGAATCATAATCGTAAACGCAGTCGGAAGAATGAGTTAGAGAAGGATAGACATATTGTTTGTCCTTCTCCAACTCATTATTCCGGTTGCGTTTACGATTATGATTCCGGTTACGTTTCTATTGTGCTCAGGGCTTTAAGGTCTTTCTCCAATAGGTTCCTAAATGTTTGCGTTGCGTGACTGACGCGTTGGTTGGCAAGCGCAGTGACGTCGTCAAAGCATTGAGGCCAACCGCGAACAAAAATTTTGGTTTATGTTCCACTTATCCCTGTTTTCCAAGTTTACAATTTTTAATGCAAATTTTTCTCGACGGCTTTTAATAATTTTAATTATTTAATATTTATAATTAAAAAATTCAGTGTCTTAAAATCATAAACCAAACTTTTTGTTCGCTATTGGTATCAATGCTTTGATGATGTCACTGCGCTTGCGGACCAACGCGTTAGTCACGCAACGCTAAAATTTAGGAACATATTGGAGAAAGGGCTTTGGATTTTCTTATGGAGAATTTCAAAACCTTTCAATCTTTCGTAAATTCCCTACGAGCAAACCCATTCAAAAATAGCGGAATGTATGACCATTGTAAAGGCGCTTGTACACCTCACCGATCTCAAGTATACTTCTGTCGTGTATCATTGAAGTAAAAGAGACAAAAGATATTTCCGTCTCTTTTACTCCAATTGTACACGACGTAAGTATACTCGGAATCGGTGAGGTATACAAGCGCCTTGACAATGTAGCATTAAGGCGCCGTCTTATGACAGCGTAAAGCATGAGAACGAAAGAGATAGTGAGATATGTACATCTCTTTCGTTTTTATGCTGTTCGCTTTACGCCAGCGGTTTATGGTACGGTCACATATCGGCTGCCTGCCTGCGGGCAGACGGGGCAAGGGGGCGACGTGAATGTGAGCGAGAAGAAAAACTTGCTTTTTCTCGCTTACACTCGACCGCTTTATTACGCTGTCATGGGACGGCGCCTTTACGCAGGGTTCGGAACATAAATTACTTCACTTTACATAATGTATAATACTGTATTATACGTAAACAATTAAAAGTTACGCGTTATTTCAGAACCTTGGCCTCACGTTTTCATGTGATTTCACATAAATAAAAGCGTTGGCGGAAATCGTAAACCATGAGAGTGACAAAGATGGTGATATTTTTTAGTCCTTTTTATTCACATGGTTTACGCATTAAAGGCAAAAGCAGAATGATTCCGGTTACGAAGACGATTAAGACCTCAATCCCATGCAAATTAGAAAATCATTAGAGTGAAAAGGATAGCGATAACTTTCCATCTCTTCTGCACTCATGGTTTTCTGCTTTGCATTATGCATTCGCGCCGTCATGGGACTGCACCCTAAAGGCTTTTCTCCAATATGTTTCTTAATGTTTGCATTGCGTGACTGACGCGTTGGTTGGCAAGCGCAGTAACGTCATCAAAGCATTGATACCAATCGCGAACAATAAGTTTGGTTTAAGGTACGGTCATACGACTTTTGGAAAAACCATTCTTGTCTTTCTCTCTCCTAAGACAGAGGCATAAGATTGTCTCACTCTGCATTTTCTTACATTTCCCAAAGACGGAAAATGCAGAGTGAGACAAACTTATGCGTCTGTAATAGGAGAGAGAAAGACAAGAATGGTTTTTCCAAAAGTCGTGTGACCGTACCCTTAGGATTTTAAGACACTGAATTTTTTAATTATAAATATTAAATAATTAAAATTATTAAAAGCCGTCGAGAAAAATTTGCATTAAAAATTGTAAACTTGGAAAACAGGGATATGTGGAACATAAACCAAAATTTTTGTTCGCGGTTGGCATCAATGCTTTGACGACGTCACTGCGATTGCCAACCAACGCGTCAGTCACGCAACGTAAACATTTAGGAACATATTGGAGAAAGGCCTTAAGGGAAACCTGAGATAGAAAAGGACAGAAACTATTTATATGCCTAAATTTTTTTGTTCTTTTCTAACGCATGTGTTGCCATGACAACATGTGTGTTAGAAAAAGACAAAATGTGTAGGTATATCTGCCCACGAGTGTATTTATATAAATTTATTTATGTTTATTAGGATTGGCTAAACTTCAATACGCCATCTGGTGTTTACCTACCTATGACAAATGTCACATTTCAGATGTTCTACTTTTCTGTGTCTTGTATATTTTAGATTTTACCGCTTCCCCAAAGCCGTTTCCGAATTGTGATTTTTAGCACACTTTTAATAAAGTATATGCTGCAGTGTCCTTTTTTCGCACGGAAAAAAAGGACACTTTATACTTCCGAAGTATACACTTTATCAAAAGTGCGACAAAAATCCCAATGCAGAAACAGCCCAACTCTGCGTCATATTTGACCTTAAGTCCGTTTTTCATTGTATACTGCTGAATCAACCAACCATTATATTCCATCTACCATGATCTATTCCATTTTAGGGTGTACAGGCCGGTTATTTTGACCCGAAAGGATAGATTGCAGCAACTTAAGTAGCGTCAGTAATAATTTCGCTGTTGTAAATTTAAATTTGTATGAAAGTAAGAAGTAAATATTTACCATGAGTACGGATAGTATTGAGAAGTTATATAAAAATTTTGGGATTCTTGCTGATGCCAAAGATAAACTTGTTGAGGTAAGTAGTTAATATTATGTATTTATAGAAATTCTTTATTTCTAGTGTCTACTGTTTGCAATTAGAATATCAAATATTTTATTTCACATGAAACTCTAATAATTTAATGCAGTAAAGTTATGAAGAAAGTATAAAATTACTATTATCAAATTATTTTTATTTTTTTTAATTTAGAGGTTAAATATTTAACAAAAATTTATGCATCTTCTTTTATTCGATTATCTTTTATTAGATTGATCTTAATTTGTTTCTTTTCATTTTCTAATTCATTTATTTTCTTAGAAATTATTGTTTTGAATTTATATGAATGTATGTTGATTTTTTTTTTAAATTTAGAAAAATAATTATAGATAATTTATTTTAGCAGCAATGAAAATAAACTTTTGCTGTGCATTTATTATTCTATTAAAAGTTTACTATTATGCTTTACATCTGAGATATTTTTACTTAAGTAAAAAATTGTTAAATATATCTAATAAATTTAAAATTGAATTATTGAAACAAAAAAATATTTTAACTATCATTGAATCTATTAAGAAAAGGAATACAGAGAGTTCAGCAAAATTTGAAAAATAAAAATTCAAAGTTTTCAAATTTATCAAAGTAATTTTTTTCTAGATTCATCTTTAACGTAGTAACTCATAATATTTTTATATCTCAATTTTTTTTTTTGCACCAAAAAAAATCATGATTTTTAATAGGTAAACAATACATTTATTTACATATTTTACTATTAAAATTCTTCAATATTGTAATTTTAAAATAAAATAATTCTAAATAAATTCTTCGAAAATTTAATTACTTTTGAAATTTTTAATTTAAAATCATTTTAACTATTGTCACAAAATTTTTAATGCAATTATTTTAATATTGAATTATTTAAATATTAAATCTTAATAATTATATTATTTATAAACTCTTTGAACTAAAACTCTTTGTAAATTTTCCCATTTTCAAAAATTTTAATAAATTTTATAATTTACTAATATTAACGATTTATATATTATAAATATTGTTTTTTAAACATTAATTTTAATTCCCAGGAAATTTATTTATTATAAAAAAAGTTGTAGGATCAGTTGGGGTAAATGGGGACAAGAGGTTTTGGAGCTTAATTTATAGTTTTAAAATTAAGTTCAACGTCAATATTTTAACCTCAGTTCACCTGCAAGAGGTTTTGAGTATTGCCAAGCTTTTATCTTGACAATTGGCAGCAAGATAAAAAAAGTTAACGCTCAATGCATAAAAACTTGAAAATCAAAGTCAAACAGTTTCAGTATTTTGTCTCGCATTTCAAAGAAAATAGACTTAAAAATTTGGTCGATATTTTAAAAGCTCGACACTTTTTTAGCTGTACGAGTTTCCTTTCTATGTTGTTATTATTATTTACATCAATAATTTCAAATTTCTCGCAAAATTTCAGTGTGCTTTACCGACAAACTACATAGAAAGGAAACTCGTACAGCTAAAAAAGTGTCGAGCTTTTAAAATATCGACCAAATTAAATTTCGATGGATATAAAATTCGATGCTTCTAAATTTCTATCATTTAGAATATCGAACAAATAAAATATCGACCACTTTAAATGTCGTTCATTTAGAATATTTACCAAACAAAATATCCAACTAATAAAATTTCGACCACTTTAAATGTCGATCATTTAGAATTTCGACCAAATAAAATATCGTCTAAATAAAATGTCGACCACTTTAAATATCGACCATTTAGATTTTCGATCAAATAAAATATCGACTAAATAAAATGTCGACCTTCATAAATGTCGGTTATTTAGAATTTCGACCGAATAAAAAATCGATTGAATAAAATGTCGACCTTCATAAATGTCTATCATTTAGAATTTCGATAAAATAAAATATTGACTAAATAAAATATCGGCCACTTTAAATATCGATCATTTAGAATTTCGAATAAATAAAATATCGACCAAATAAAATGTTGACCATTTTAAATATCGATCATTTAGAATTTCGTTCAAATAAAATATCGACTTAATGTAATTCGGTCAATTCAATTTTCGATCTTTTTAATTTTTGGGAAAAATCATGCGCCTCTTCTAAACCAGAAAGTTCCCTTAATATTAAACCATGTTAAATACTATGTACTGATGAGAATATAGATGAATACTATTTTCAATGCATTTTTATAATTTCTGAAAATAGTGTTGTAGTTGATAAATACAATTTTCTCTTTCTCTCTAATATAAGAAATATTGTTGAAATTTTTGTTTCTATTTACCCCGAATTGTAGTAGGGGAGGATGGGGCATGAATAGTTTGGTAAGACTTTTTGAATCTAGCGACGAAACCTGAATTTATATCTGCAAATGAGTAGTACTTTTGGAAAGCTTGGTTATTTGGCTATAATTTTGCTATACATTATTTTGCTGTAGACTGCAATCCCTACGAGATACGAATGAAAATGTAAAAAAAAAATTTTAACTATCCTTGCCCCAGTACCGGGGCAAGAATAGTTAAAAGAATCCGAATGCTAAAAATGTCATAAAAAATCAGTAAATTTTCGTTTTCTTTATTTTATTGGAATTAGACTATTCAATATTGATATATCAAGTATTAACAATATGTTTTGAACATTTTCTAAATATCAATTATTGCATTAAAATTCGTCTGAACTTGAATCTGAGATTTAACCAATTTTCTTCAGATAATCACCAATTTCTTGGTCAATAAGCTTCGTTTTCCGTATATAATTACGCACTATTATGTATATCAACCTAAAAAGAACAATTAAACATTTTTTTTATAATTTGCAGTCGTATTAGCAGGATTTTATCGATCCATAATAGGTCTAACTATCCTTGCCTCATGAGCTCATATTTCAGTTTTTTCTAAATTTTAAGGAACGACGTGAATTAATTTGAAAATAATTACGATATTCGTGTACAGCAGGAAATTCCACTCCGGAAAACACTTACGTAAATAAATATTCGGAAGCACTAATATAGAAAACAATATGATAATCATTACGTTGACATTTTAGCAAAACAGACTTTTTACAAAAATAAACTCCTGACTTCGCAAATGGTGGCAGATTGACTTCCAATTTTTACTATCATCTGTTGGTGTTAAGACGCAAATATACCATGAATGACGCGATTATTGAGCAAGCCGTCTAAGCATAACAGCAACTAACTATCCTTGCCCCATCCTCCCCTATTAATAAGAGATAATTATAAATATTAATTTGAATTTTTAGTTTATTTTTTGCTTCCTCGTGGAGGAAGCTATGTAGTCCTTTCGTTTATAAACTTTTTAAAAATGGTGAAAACAAATTTTCCTCTATATAGAAACATGTTATATGAGATCCTGATCAATTGTCCGGATGTATGTATGTGTGTGTGTATATATATGTGTGTGTGTATGTGTGTGTGGATCGTTTTTGTGAACACGATATCTTTAACAGGTTTTAATGGATTTGGATAAAATTTGGTAGGCTTATTTAACACATTAATCTCTCAAAAATGACGAGAGGATTTTTAAAAATACCCCAAAAAAAAAATTTTATCGTCTTTTTTCCAAAAATTTTTTTTTAATTGAAAAAATTTTTAAATCGAAAAATTTAAGGTAATATATAATATAATCGTCTTCTTTATGTCAAGATGAATCGATTGATATATATAAAGTATAAATTTGATTGAAATTTAAAGAATTAAAGAAAGTTAAAAAATCAAAAATTCTCATTTTAGCTAAAAAATGATGTGTTTATTTAAATTCATGTTTATATATATGAAATAATTTTATTCCCTGCATTGAAACGAATTGGTTGGTATATATAAAGTATAGATTTGATTTAAAATTTGAGAATTAATAAAAATTGAAAAATCGAAAATTCATATTTTAGCTAACAAATTTTGTGTTTTTTTTAAATTCAAGTTGATGAATAAAATAATTGTATTCCTTGCATTAAAACGAATCGATTCGTATATATAAAGTTTATGTTACACTCAAAATTAATTAAAATTTTCTTTATTTTTCAAAAAATTTAATTAATTTAAAACATTTTTAACTCGAAATTTTTTAAATCAATCAATTGAATTGGACAAATTCATTGCTTCCTTCACGAGGAAGCGAATTTTTTGCTTCACACAATGAGGAAGCATAATGTTTATGAAATAAACATAAAGGACCCCCTCCTTGTTTTACAAATTCGAGTCAAACAAGTGAATGGGTGTCTTCTTTGATTTTCAATTTTTCATGCAATAGGAAATAATTTTTGTATATATTGCTTCTAATTGACAAACGGAAAATGGGAGAATACTTAAAACTTTTTGGGGATGATCTAAGGTTCAAGGTTTAAGGCCGTATTTATTTAAAAATTTGTTTATTTAACTGAAATAACTATTGTTTCGATTTACCTCAACTGACCCTAAGTACAATTATAATTAATAATCAATTATTTAAAAAATACTTCTATTTTATTAGGATTATGGTAGGGGAGACTGGGGCAAAAACCGGCCATGTGGGTAAACCGGCCAGGTGTTAATTTCTTCGAATTGGTGAAATTTTAAAATATGTCAAAAAAAAAAAAATTGAACTGGCCGGTTTGCCCCAGAGGTGTAGCCGGTTTACCTCAGGGGTGGGGCAAACCGGCCAGTTTGCAAATTTTTTTAAAATTGATGCAGCAGCTAAACAATACATTTTAAGGTACATGTGTCTCTAGGAAAAAGTTGCGCAATTAGATGACCTTTTCAACAAGCTATTATAAAAGGTTTTTCATTAGATTCTTTAGTTACTAGAGCCTTACAACTGTTAACATGGTCGGTTTGCCCCAGTCTCCCCTATAGTTAAATAAATGAAACGCCAAATTATTAATCAATAAACCAAGTCTTTATTTTAACGACACTTGGAAGATGTATTTAGATCTTTACTCTACCTAAGCTTTCGGCAGAATAAACTTAAAGACAAAAAGGACTTATTACGTCATGTCAAAAGTGAACGATATTCGCTTATACCGAATCTCATTGTTCGTTTTTAGTTTACATTATGTGGATGATCATACGCCGTTCTGTCGCCCCAAAATTAAAACTATAAACGCCACCCAAAACGAATTCGTCGAAGAGTAATATAAGATTTAAACAGAGATAATTTTTAAAACATTTATATTTTAATGAACCAACAGTTTTTTTTTTTTTTAAAGAATTTTATTTTATTATAATTTTTTTTTTTGAGCTGAAAAGAAATATTTATTTTAGTTTTTGGTTAACATAATGAGGCAGAAAGAAACTAATTAACAATTGAACCGACGGCGACCAAAAGGGCTTACGCGAGGTTTTCATTGGCCCCTAGAATAGCTGGAAACTCGCCGAACGCAGGGCCAACGAAAGCCACGCGTAAGCCCTTTTGGTCGCCGGCGGTTCAATTGTTTCCTATTGAATTTTTTTTTTTTTTTGTAGTTACAATAATTTTTTAATGTAATTTTACATTTGTATTTAATATTTTTTTTAGCATGAAAAAGAGTATTTGGAAATTCTAACAGCTGTTAAGGGATCTGCTAAAGAAAAGCGATTAGCTTCGCAATTTATTGCCAGATTCTTTAAGCATTTTCCAAAACTAGCCGATCAAGCTATAGATGCTCACTTAGATCTCTGCGAAGATGAAGATATCGCTGTAAGTTCATTCACCTAGTTAAATATAATTCATCATAAAAAAAAATAGTACACACGATTTAACATTAATTTTTTTTTCTTAATTCAATATAAGTGAATAAAATAGTTTTTAGATTTAAAAAAATTGAATTTAGATTTTAATAACGAAATAAAAAAAACAATTATTTATCTTTTTGTACACTTTATATAGATACGAAAACAGGCTATCAAAGATTTACCATCGTTATGTAAAGACAACACAGAACATACTCCAAGAATAGCTGATATCTTAGCTCAGCTTTTGCAAGCTCAGGATCCAACAGAACTTGATGTGGTACATAACAGTATTATGACTCTTATAAAAAATGACTCAAAAGGTAAAATATCTTTTACTATAATAATTAATGCATTTTTAAAATTAAAATCAATTCAGAAATTTATTTAGAGTGAAAAAAGATACAATTTTCTTAATTTTCTTATTTACTTCAGGTGCATTGAGTGGATTTTTCAGTCAAATTCTTAATGGTGACGATTCAACTCGTGAACGTTGCATTAAATTTTTGGGTACTAAATTGAAAGCTCTTGGTCATAGTGTAATTACAAAAGATGCTGAGGATTTATTGATAGCAGAATGCAAGAAAGTATTACAGGTAAGTTGTATTTCAAATTTATATATGGGTGATTCTACAAACGAGGGAATTATGAGCGGTCAAGCATCAATTTTTCAAGTGTTTAGCGGAAAATTCATACTGGATTAGTAATTTTGAATAGTTGTAGATTATTAATATGGAAATAATTATGACATTACTCTATACCTTATTTATAAAATATCTTCTTGAATTTTGTCCCTGGATTTTGTTATCATTCGTCAGGCAGTTGAAAACACGTTAAAATTATTAAAAATCAACATTCTAATGAAGTTACAGTTCGTTATTGTTGTAAATTAAACTAAACTAAACTAAATGTGATACCACGCATGTTTTATTTAATTTGTTATTCTATTAACAAAAATTTCTCAATTTGTGACCAAGATTGCGTTGTGACCAGACAAATTCTCATTCGTCTGGCATCTATTTTTTTGAAAAAAATATTATTTTTAGGTCCTTTTATAGGCTTATGCATTGCAACTTTGAATTCTCTATCGGATAGAATTGCTTATTTATTTATTTAATGTTGTTTCTACCTTTTTTAAAAAAAAACTGCCAAATTCTCATTCGTCTGGCACATTTGAGACAGGATATACATTAAGCACTAAAAACAGCGTAAAACTAATAATTTTTTTTAACATTTTTCGATTTTCTTGACTTAAAATAATCCTCACTAAATTTTTAAGATATTGCTAAACCCCAATCTTTAATTTTCATTTTGTATATATAATTATATTAATATAAATAAACAAATGAAAAGTACCTTTTTCCTGTTAATCGTATGAATATCACAACGAAATCGAAATATTTTTTATTATTAGACACTTAAAGTACTCCTACAGATTTGTGATTTGTAAAATTATGTTCTAGTAGAACACACGTAATTTGTTATAAACAAATTATATAAACAAATTACTAATTAAAGCGATACCTTTTATTGATCCTTGTAAAATTCGTTACTCGGGGGTTTTCGAGGTCGCTAATTACGAATCCGACGTCAGTTTTTCAAAATTCAAAATGGCGGATCCAATATGGTGGACGACATTTGAAATAACTTAATATATTTGTCTGAAAATAATTACTCGGGGGTTTTCGGGGTCGCTGATTACGAATCAGAGGTCAGTTTTTCAAATTTTAAAATGGCGGATCCAATATGGCGGACAACTTTAGAAAAAACTTAATATATTCGTCTCAAGTAAGTAGTTTCCAGTGATTTTAAATATTTGTCCGCCATTTTGAATTTTGAAAAAATGACTCCGGATTCACTTTTAGCGACCCCAAAAACCCCCGAGTAGAAAGTTTCAAGCAAATCCGAACCAATTTTTCAAAATTTGTCCGCCATATGGGATCCGCCATTTTGAATTTTGAAAAACTGACCTCTGATTCGTAATCAGCGACCCCAAAAACCCCCGAGTAGAGAGTTTCAAGCAAATCCAAACGATTTTTAAAAAATATTCCGCCATATTGGATCCGCCATTTTGAATTTTGAAAAACTGACCTCGGATTCGTAATCAGCTACCCCGAAAACCCCCGAGTAATAAATTTTGTATAAATCCATTAATTATTTTTTGTGTTAATGTGAATTTTCTATACACGATCTTAATTTCCTGGATAAATTGTTTATAAACAACCATAACTTTTGTAATTTTTAATATTTTGTCTGGCCATTTTCAGATATCTTTTTTAGTAACATTAACTTGAAGTTAAAGTACTTTTCAAACTTTAAATGAGAAAAAAATGTTGTGTCCATATTTTCTTCATTTTCGTCCTTCGTTTGTAGAATAACCCATTTGAATAAAATCAAAAGTTCTGTCTATACATAAAAAGAAAAGGTATAGTTGTGGATATTGGAATTTATTAAGAATGACTAAATTTATTTTTATAATTTAATAGAAGCAATTAAAGATAAGAAATAATAAATAAAATATTAGAAATTAAGCCAATGGCAACAGGTTATTTAAGACCCCTTTCAAAATAAGTGATTTTACGATAGTCACAATATCTAATGACTGCTTCATCAAAAATAAAAGAAACCAAATATTTTCTAGTAGTAGATGAGTATAGCTCATGAATGAGGGAAGGGTTTTTAAAAAAATTTAAATTTTTGACAGAGTTTTTTGTCACAAATTACAATTTTTGGGACAATTTAGACCATGTAAAATTGGTTGTAATCTATGTTCTATGTAGAAGAAGTGTGCTAAATTTCAGAAAAATCGGTGCATTAGTTTTTAAGAAATCGTAATGACCGACTTCAAAAATAGAGTTTTGAGAAAACAGCATTCATAGTTAAATGATATAAACGTCGGATTTTCTTTTTTATTTCATCGGATTCGTTTGAAAATCTTTATTCTGTGGTTTTTGGGGTCGCTGATTACAAATCTGGTGTCAGTTTTCCAAAATTTAAAATGACTGATACAAAAAGGCGGACTAAGTAATTAAAAATCAATTGCACTAGGTACATGTCGAAACAAAAAGCTTTTTCGAAAATTCTCTCTCTTTCCTAGAGTTTTACTCAAATTATCATAAAACCTTGGGAAAATATTCTTGACATGTTATACTATCAAATAAAAAAAAAATCGATTTTTTTTGTTTGACCCATGTAACCCATTAAATATGGAAGTTGCATATCACAAGGGTTCTTAGTTTACTGTTATTTTGTAGGATGTTACTGCTAGTGAATTTCATAGCATTATGGATGTATTGGCCTGGACAAAATTGGGCTCTACAATTAAAGGACAACAGGAATTAATTGATATTGCAATAGAACAAGCGGAACTTACTGTACCATTCAAGCACACAAATTTGGAACAATGTAGCAGGGTTATTGAATGTATAAAACACGCACTTCCCTTTTTTAATGTAAGTGAAAACTGTAACTTACATTTTCAAATCTCGTTCGTTATACGAGACACATGGATAAGCTTTAAAATTTATTTGTTAGAATTTTTATTTGATAGAATTTCATTACCTAGAATTTACTTTTAGCTGAATTTTTATTTCTTCGAATTACTATTTAGCAGAAATTTCATTTTAACGAATTTCTATAACGCAGAATTGTTACTTAAAGGAATTTTTATTTTACAGACTTTTTATTTCATCGAATTGTAATTTAATAGAATTATTATTTGCTCGAATTTTCATTATATAAAATAGTCATTTAAAAGAATTTTAAATTTAACAGGGAAAATATTCTAAAGAATTCTATTCTATTCGAATTTTCATTTGTTCGAACTTACATTTTAAAAAATTCTTAAAACGTCGAACTTTTCTTTTACAGAACTTTCATTTTCCTGAATAAATATTTGGGCGCATGATTTAAAATTAACCAATCATAATTTCGTTGATAGCTTCTGATTGGATAATTTTAAAGTTAGTGCCCAAATTTTCTGACAAATATTTATTAAGGCAAGTGAAAGTTCTGTGACTTAAAAATTCGGCGTTTTGAGAATTTTGTAAAATGCAAATTCTACTAGAAAATAATTCTTTTTAATATTCATTGTGTAAAATAGAAATTCTTTTAAATGACTATTCTGAAATTCTCATAAATTCAAATTCGATTAAATAAAAAATTCTGTAAAATGAAAATTTCTTTAAGTGACAATTTTGTAATATAGAAATTCGTTTAAATGAAATGTCTGCTGAATAATAATTCGAAGAATTAAAAATTCGACTAAAAGTAAATTCTAGGTAATAAAATTTTGTCAAATGAAAATTCTAATAAATTAATTTTAGTGCTTATTCATGCGTCTCCATTTCAATTTTAAAATAAATTTTCATTTATTTACAGTCTCAAACGAGTTCTTCAAAATTCGTTTCATACCTTTGCGTACAAGTTTTACCACATTTATCACTGATTTCATCGATTGAAGGTCGAGACACTCAATTGGAAATTTTAAAACAATTAGCTGAACTTTCAGAATTTTGTGGTACACTCGAAAAAGCGGAAGATAAAGTTCAACAACTTTACAATGTATTAATCGTATGTATTTTTTTTTCTCAATATTGCAATCTATTTTTTATATTTAAATGAACGTATTGGATTTGATTAAAAAAAATTTTTCTTGTAGACCTTCATGCCACTCCCTCCTGATGCAGAGATAACAGAAGTTCCAAAACTTCAATTCAGTCATGTCGAATGTTTGATGTACGCGTTTCATAAACTTTGCAAACAAACTCCAGAATTTTTAACTAAAGATGCAGAACAATTAAAGGAATTTAAATTAAGATTGCAGTATTTTGCTCGTGGTATTCAAGGATATATTAAAAAATTGCGTGAAGCAATTAATGGAAAAACAGAAGAGGAATTAAAAACAGAAGAAAATCAATTGAAAGTTGTTGCATTGAAAACGACAAATAATATCAACACTTTAATTAAGGATTTGTTTCATTCGCCACCCAGTTTCAAAAGTATCGTTGAATTGTCTTGGAAAACTATCACCAACTCACAAAAGGTATATATTTATTTTTATTATTTATTTGATCGTTTAAAAAAAATTCTAATTTTTATTGGTCAAAACTAATTAATTAATTAAAATTTTAATCAAATGTAAATTTAATCGATCGAAATCTAAAGATTAGCTAATTTTAGTTTTAAATTATAATTGTTTAGTGATTGATAATCATCATTTTTGATTTTGTATTTAAAAGAAAATAACGTTTTTTGTTTCCATAAGAGATTTTCCTTTTAATTTTTGTGAAATAATTTTTATTCAAATTCTCTACATATATATATATATATATATATATATATATATATATATATAATATTGACTCACTAGTGTAAAAAAACAGAATTTTAAAAATAATTTTGCCTAAATATGCTGAAGAGTTAAAAAACTTAAAAAAATGTTTGTTTTATTTTATTTTAGACCGATAAAACAGTGTCTGGACACAAACGTCACACGCCTATTACTTTTGGAAATGATAATAGTCAAAATAAACGCAATAGAGACGATATGAAAAATAATAAAAGGGAACTTTATACTCCACCAAGTGGAAAGTACAGCTCAAACATCTCTTCAAACTACGGTAAGTTTTATTTTTTGCTTTTTATTTTATATTTTTTCTTATAAAAATATTTAACATTCGAAATTTACTTTATTTTCAAAAATTTCAATTTAAAACCTTCTAAAATTTAATTATTTCTGAAATTCCTCATCTAAAGATTTTCTTTAATTTAATAATTTCAACTATAACTTACTCTTCCAAAATTAAATTATTTTTAATGATTTTTATATTTAAAAATTCAATTATTTTAAAGCATTTTTCAATTAAAAACTTTTAAAATTCAGTTTCTATCTGTAATTTCTTATAAATTCTTCAGCAACAGAAATTACTAAAAATTTCAATCAAACATCATTAAAGTTCAATTATTTTCAAAAATCTAAATTATAAATCTTCGAAAACTCAATTATTTTTTAAAAATGGTTATCTAAAATTATTTAATAAATTCTTTTTAATTTTGTAAAAGTTAATTATTGTCTGAAATTTAACAAAATATTTTGAAATTTAATCATTTCGAAAAATTTCAACTGTAACTCTTTAAAATTTCAATTATTTTTAATAATTTTAATACTTTTTTAAAAATTCAATTATTTAAAAAAAGTTTAAAATAAAAACTCTAAAATTGAATTGTTTTCAGAAATTTAAAACAAAACTACAGAAGTTTAAATTTGCATATTCGAACAAACAAAAATTCTGTGAAATGAATTTTCTCGGTTATATAAAAATTCTATAATATAGAAAATAGGTTTAATGAAAATTCTACAAAATACTAATTCGAACAAATAAAAAATCGGTTCAAAACTAATTATGACAAATAAAATTCCATAAGATGAAAATTCTAACTAATGATTTTTAGAACATAATCATGCGTCCTAATTTTAAGTACAGAAGTACATTTAAAAAATAATTTATTTTTTTGTTTGTTTCAGGAAATAGAGGACGACTTCGTGGTTATAAGCAAGGGGGTAGAGGCGGTTTTAGGCAAAGGGGTCGCAGTAGTTGGCGAAATAAGCCCTATTAATATTGATTTAAAGTTTAAAGTACATTTTACAAAAAACGAATCGTTTTTCACTAAGAGACACAAAAGAGATGAAAATGAATTTAGAAGCACATCATGTGAATTAAAATATTTTTTTATTTTGCTTAACAACTTCTCAAGTTATATCTCTCTTTCGTTGATTTGAAAAGTGTGCTCTTATTATTATTATTTTTTTTTTTCATTAAGAGCTTTGAAGAATTTTATAGGGCGAGGTACATAAATTTGAATTTTATGTATTTTTTTTTTCTTTTAATGTCAAAACATTTCAGTAATGGGACAACGTTAACGAGAGATTTTCAAGTGTTAAAATACTGTCGAAAGGAATCAATCTTTTAACACCGATTTACTACTGAAAGTGATATAATTCGTTCACTATATAGGGATTTTTCATTTAAAGAAGAAAAGCCATCCGAAAAGTTGTCTCCTCAACTTTTGCGAACTTTTCCTATTATTTCCCGCTTTCCGTTTAATAATTATTGTCCTTTAAAAAAAAAAAAAAAAAAAAAAAAAAATTCATAAACCTTTAAAAAAGCCACTTGTAAAATGTTTTATAGCAAATGTTTGTTCTTTAATCAAAGAAACATTTTAAGTTTTATCAACATGAATATCGTACCAAAGAATGCAATTTTTTTTTAAAAAAAGCAATTCAAAAAAAAAAATTTTTGAATTGACTTTTATTTGCATTTTTGTTAAAATTTAAATTTAAGAAATTATTTTAATTTTTATTAAAATTTTTTTCCAAATTAATAAAAAAAAAAAAGAAAAATATCTTGAAACATTTTTTTTTCTCTTTGGCAAATTTTTGTTCACTAGTGACGGAAACAGTTTCTTTGATTAGTGACAAGTACATTAACCATAACAATTTTTATTACACTTTTCTTTTTCAGGTTCCAGAACTGATTTAACATTTTGCAATGGAAGCAAAGCCGGAGAAGCTCACATTATAGAATTCCGAAAATCAATTTTAGATTGGAAGTATCTTGAAATTTCAATAATTAGATTTAATTTTTAATTAAAATCAAAAAAAAAATATATATATATATATTCTTAATTAACAAATATTAACATTTTTCTATATAATTGATACTTTAAATTTGAGCTAAAAAAAATGACGATTATTTGGCCATATTACATGAAAAACAAATGTTTAATAATAAAAATTTTCAAGAACTCGAAATGTAAATATTTTTGTTTCAGGTTTAGATTTTTTTTTTTAAACTGATTCATATATTGCAATATCAGTTTATAATAAGTGAGAGTCATTTTGTTTATTGTGAAAATCTTTGTTTTAAATATGTGAATTATTTTTTAATTTGTATCCCTCCCCCCTTTATATGGTACCTGTTTTATAAGGTTAGTTTAAGGTTATTCTTAAATCTCCTTTAAAAAAAAAAAAAATTTTCATATACAATTTAGGAGGTTCTGTATATATATTTTTACAGTTTTGGTAATTCACTTTAAATAAAGAGAAAAGAATAACTAATCTTAAAATTAAAAATTTTTCGTTTATTTTTGCGTTTCTTCGAAAGGTACTCTTCATTATTGTGCCAATAAGACTTATTAAAACTATAAAAAAAAAATACTTATCAGGCGCCTGAACATTTGTTCTCAACATAAATTTTCACATAATTGAATTTGTCAATCGTCATTAACCACAAGCTTCCTATAATTATCTTAATACCATAATAATTTCCAAAATTAATAAATTTCCTCTTTTGTGGAGTATTCACATTTCATATACACTTATAATTTGATTTTACACAAAACTTCTATGTTGATTCGAATTATCACTCAATAATTATACACAAACACGTGACAAAATAATATACATGATATTTGATTGTAAGTTTACATAATCAATTTTTTGATAGTACGAAATAAAAATTTTTTTGAAAAATTAAAACAAAAAATTATAGTTACATTATTTTAGGCTAATTTCTAGAGAACCTGTTTATTTTTCAGTTATACATTTTTTAACAACAAAAACAGAATTTTATAAAGTAGATTTTTTTCATGTGATAAATTTTCATTTCGAAGAATTTCTATTTAACTGAATTTTTGTATAGAAGATTTTCTAATACATTACATTTTCAAAGGATATAAATTGATTCTATTTATTCAAATATTCACACTATATTTTTATAAGGAAGGAAACCACATTAGAGGGTTCAACAAAAAATTAATACCCTTTTTTTAATCAAAAAGACGCAAAAAATTATAAACTCAGATGGCGCAACTCCAGGTTTAATGGCTGCTAACATGGAATGTTTTCAATTAAAATGCTTAAAAAAAATTGTGAAACACAGATAAATATATGTGCAACATAATGTCATTCTTGCATTTCATTAAAAAAAAATTTATTTCTTTAAAAAAAAATCCCGAAAAACGGCTAAAAAGCACCGTCCTAATGTCTGAAATCATAATATGAATCATATGAATCATTATTTTAACTAAAATTTTATATAGGTATAGCAGATTGTCTAATATATTAAATTTTCAAATAATACAATTTCCATTTGACAGAATTTATGTTCAGCAAAAATTTTTATAAAAAAGGAATTTTTATTTATCAGAATTGTTCTTTTGATGAATTTCTCTTTATCCGAATATTCAGGTAACAATATTTTCATTAACTGAATGTCTACATAAAAAAATTCTTATTTAACAAAAATTTTATAAAGAACGTTGTTTATACCCGGGATAAATTCTATTTAACTGTGTCCCTTATTTTAAATAAGAAAAAAGTGCAAATGGAAAATTAAAGGAAAAATAAATTTATCATTTTGTCTCGTTGCATTATGGTAAAATTTAATTTTAATTTTTATCTACATTCGAAAAAAATTGTTCCTTCTTAATAAGAACTTTTAAAATTATATACAAAAAAAATGATTTTAAAATTAAACATTTTGACACTTTTTAGCACTTATTTTGTTACAATTTTTATATTTACAATAAAAATTTGATTTTAAAAAATAGTCGCCCAACTCAAAAATTAGATTTATGATAATAATTATTTTAATTTGAAAATTGTGTAATAAACATGTTAAAACTTCGTGAGAAGGGTACAGTAAAATTAAATACAAAGTATAAATTCATTTTCAAAATGGTGCATTTTTTATTTATTTTTTTGGTAATAATACTTATAAAGTAAGAAGAAATACAAAAAGCTTACATATATAATACATTTATATAATAAATAATAAATTCTCTTCTAGTTTACGAATACAATGTAATAATACCAATGTTATATTAATATGAAAAATTACAACACAATTTAACCACTGTTTTTTTTTAAAAACTTTTAACGTCCATCAGAGATGTAAAACTGTATAATTTATTGCAGATCAGACGGTGAATTTCTGCAAAATAATTTATTTTTATTTTATAATCAATTTTATCAAAAATTTACTTTTTTATTTTTATGTGCCACTATTTTAGTAGAACTTCATTTTTGAAATTATAATGAGTCCTTTTTTTTGAAGAATGTTAAATTCTAGCATTCTTTGTTTTCTATTTTCAGTTTTTTAATTTTTTCAAATTATATTTATACTTTATATTTTTTTCCGTGTATAACATAAAATAACAATTTTGGACATTCGAGCTGGAATGACTCGAATTGTAAAAACCCGTACCGAAAAGGCGCTAGTTTAAATCGGTTTATGTCGAAACGAGTCAACATACTGATAACATCTACATATTTAAATTTTAATTGTCTGATGAATAAAAACAGTAAAAACAAACTGATTTTAAACGTTTATTTAATTATTTTTTTATGAAATATCTAATATATGCTTTTACGCATTTAAATTGAATTGATTTCCTTTATTATTTATTTAAATATTTTAAAACTATTTATTTAGGGTCAGTTGAGGTAAATCGAAACAGTAGTTATTTCAGTTAAATAAAAATTTTTTAAATAAATACGGCCTCAAACCTTGTTGGGGGTGATTTAAGGTTCAAGGTTCGAGGCCGTATTTATTTTTATAATTTTTTATTTAACTGAAATAACTACTGTTTCGATTTACCCCTTGTTTCAATGCGTCATACACTATACTTTCAATATAATAATAATTTCATCAATTTCAGTCAATAAGCCAGTAAGTTCGATATTCGAACCAGCTGCTGCTCAGATCGGTTTATTTCGATTCGAGTCAAGGCGCTTAAAAATCGAAAAAAATTCGATTCGATCCAAACTTTGCACAACTCTAATATTTTCTAACGTAAAATAAATATGTATTGTTAAATAGACATTAAATTGAAACTTACCTCCAAGCTATAAGTGGCGTTAATCTTTCAATTAGTCTTTGATAGTTCCTTTCTAATTCACGTTGATAATCACGTTGATCGGGTCCTATAAGATTTTTATTTCTTCTCAATGCATCTAGACATTTTTTTGAAAAATCTTTAAAGCACAATCGTAACTTATGCTGCAATCGAGATGGTTGTGCATTTTGTTCCTGTAATCCTGATAAAAAGACAATAGCAACCTCCGCTGGACCTTGATTCACTGTTGTTCCAATGCAACCTTGAAGAACCATTTGCAACATCTTTGGATCCGGAGGTTCCTGAGCAGTTGCTGCTGCAACCTGAATAAAAGAGATTTCAATTCTTAAAAAGATGTATTTTTAATTTTTCTTCATTTCACCTTTTTTTTAAATAATATTTTAATTTATACATTTAAATTAATTTCCTTTTAAATATATTATAAATTAGAAGAACAAAATTAATAAAAATTACTTCAGTTGTCTTCTTTTGTATATCCTCAATTGCAACTTCTATTGGACTGAGTACAATTTGCTTTCTAGAAACAACTCGAATTCGTGTCTTAAGATAAGGGAAATGTGTAGCGACAGTTAAAATTGTCTTTCGCTTGCATTGTTCCCTTAATTCTCCATGAGCTTTACCTCCTGGTGTAAATGGAGTAGCATAGACAAAACGCTCTATAATAGATCAAAAATTGACGAATATAATAGATTATTTTTTTTACGATTACGATTTTAGTAATTAATTTTAAATTACAGTCGATTATTAAGTAATTATAATAATAATACTGGGTCAGTAACTCACTTATATTGAAGTTTTTGCGAAATACTGTAGATCTATGCCTCAGTTCATGATTTTCAAAATATGGCTCCACATAAGTAATTTGTACATAAGATTTGTCGGTGTCCAATTTATTCATATCAACAGGATTTGAATCCTTAATAATAACAATATTATCAACTCCAAATCTATCAGCATAAAAATTTTCAATTCTCGAAAATATCTCCGGTAATTTTGTCAATGTTGGCTCTTTATAAACAAATTCTTCACCATTGAGATCACCAAATCTTGCTCCATAAAATCCAACTCTAAAGTACGTGCCAAAAACACGTTTTCCTGATAACTGTTCAACTTTCTGGTAAGCTTCATGTAATTTTCTAAAAAAAAATTAACGAAATTTAAATAATAATTGTTTTTATTTTCAATAATCATATTTAATTTGGCTAATTAAATTTAACTTACCCATGAATGTTTGCTAATTTTTTGTAATCATGAGCAGCCTCAGCAATTGGTAATAAAACTCTATAGACATCGGGAATTGCTTCGTACATGCCAGCGGCATAAAAAGAACTTGCTGCATGTTCAAGTAAGCCGGCTAATCCACTTTCAGAGAAATCGGGACCCAAACAAAGTCCCTCTTCCCTTCTGGCAAGCACATCATCGCCAACTGCACTTTCTTCGATTGCATTAGGCGTTATTGAACTAAGCGCCACGGCACCAATTGGACGTCCACTGCTTCCAGGTTCCAAAAGATGCAAATATTCGGCAACAAGCGCTGCACTGTGTACAAGACACATTGCAGCCTCGGTGTGATTTTTTCGCTCCATGTGCTGTTGTGCCATGTTTGCCAACCATGTTACACGAAGATCTGGCGATCCTTGATATCCTTTCGCAATTCTGTACAGTAAAAAATTTATTCGACTACTTTAGAAGGTCAAAAAATGTATAAATTTCAAGAATTTTTTTCTCAAACACATTGAAATAAATCGATGAGAGATTTAGTGGATCCATTTTATAATTTTATAAAAAGTCGTAAAATTTACCTATACATTAGGTCCAGCAACATTTCCGGATCTTCTTGAAATTCTTTCATTTTCACAGTATCCGAAAGAATCATATGAAGATTAAAAAGCAAATCTTTTACTTGTTCAGGAAAGCTTGTTTCCGCTAATTCAACATCACGTTCTGCATAAACTAAAACAGTTTTAAGAGATCGACGTAAAGCACCTTCGCTTAACGATCTTCCACGACCCACCAGTGCAGACAATGAAGTTGTCACTTGCATCTTTACTCTGGCAAAATTCTAAAACATAAGTTAATTTTACAAATACTAATCTCATAAATTATTAGAAGCAATTTCAACATTATTTATTTATACTTACGTTTCCAATTTCAAAATTTTGCCGCATTAATAAATAAAGACTAGCTGCTGCATGACTTCTAATTGCACTCAAAGGAGAACTGCAGCGAGTTAATAAAGTTAGACACAAATCTCCACATCTTTCACTTTCCTCGTCAAACAAGGCACTGTGGTATTTGAAAACTAATGCTCTCTGTGAACTGAACATATGTTGAAGTACTGTTGTACTTTGATTTCTGGCTAAAGCTCTTAGTAAAACTTTCAATACTGCACCAATTACGGCTCCTGAAAATTCGATTATCCAAAATACTACATGTTCAGAGAATGATTAAATTAGTGTTGCATGCGATTCGATAATTTCTCGTTTCTCTGTCAATTTAGATAGTTTTCGAAATTTCTGGAATGTAACTTTGTTATTTAATTTGTTTTAATTCGTATCTACTAGCGTCAAAAATAAATATTTCCGAACGAGAAAATCGAAAATGTCAATGAAAAATACTATTTTAGATGAAAATTAAAGGACATCGAGAGAATTATTAAAACGATCCACACCGAAGTAATTGATATTTTTAATTAATAGACAAAATTATTCTATTATTTTTTACGTCTTGAAGACTCCGCATCCTCCGCTGCTTGCGATATGGATAATCTTCGCTTTATTGCAATACTTTTATCTACCTTAAAAGCAACTTGGGCTTCTACTGCAGTTTGCAAACTTATGATCGACTTTGAAGCACGCAATCGATATGTCCGCTGCCTTACAAACTCTTCCAATATGGCCGTACGCCAGGCACAGAACGACCATCACCCTTCTTTTTATTGGCCAATCCTTAAGCGTCCCACTTTCTCCAACCTTTCCGTCTCCTCTGCGTCGGTGACTACAACCGCAAGCTTCATTCCTCGTCGATTTGGTCCTATGACCGTCACTATTCTGCTTCTTGGCTTCTGAAGCACTTCTGCCAACGCTTGTTGAACCTCTTCTTCTTGGATAAGATAATCAAGGTCACAGTGGAGATCCTCGACCTGTATTACCTTACCCAAGAAGAAGAGGTTCAACAAGCGTTGGCAGAAGTGCTCCAGAAGCCAGGATGTAGTATAGTGATGGTCCTAGGACCAAATCGACGAGAAATGAAGCTTGCGGTTGTAGGTCCCCATGCTTCCAACCGCTTTGGCGAGCTCACCGGTGAATTCCCTTATTGTAGCCTCCTCTGATTTTGATCAGGAGATTTCCCTTTCTTGTAGGCCTTGCGCCCACGACCTGCTTGTGGCTGACGTCCGGACTCACGTCCCTCCAAAGTTTGCTTAGTACTTCGGTATACATTATTCCTGTTGCGATTTGGATCACCAGTGTAGATTCACTCGTCGCTTTCTTCTTACTGGTTTGCTTAGGATTCGGTGTTACCGTCACCAACGCAATCTTTTTGACAAGAGGTGCCTCCTCTTGCCGAAGCCGCTTCTCATGAATACGCTCTCTTTTCCTGTTTCGCTCTTCTCAGTTCAACTCCACATTACCTATAGCGCCAATAATATTGCTATCTCCATTATCTGCTAGGTCGTGCTTTGTCTTCGCCTCATTGACAAGATCCTGAAGAGTCTTAAGTCCGTCCTTAATAGTCATGTTGACATTCTTCTGGACTTTGCAAGACTTTACCATCTTGGCGATCTCCTCTTCGATCCTCTGAGGATACTCAGCTTTCACTTGCCTAAGCTTTAAACACTTATTGAGTTCTTTTTCAATTGTCTGATTATCTAGATCAGACGAAATCAAACTTCTTTTGCTTCTGACACTAGAAACGCTTCAAGCGCTTCCTCTTCTACTTCTAAGACTTTCTAAACGGATCTGGGGAACCTTAAGAAACTGGGTGCCCCAATGGTCCATCCTCCTTGTTGCATTGGATGCTGCAGTACCCAAGGTGTCCATTACTGCAGCAGAGTTGTCACTGAATTTTAAAGCTGGGAAACCAACTTGCTCACTTCCGGCAGTGCCCTACCCTGCACCGTAAACGTCCTTACTTAAACCTTAGCTTTCCTCTTTTTTTCCTTAGCTTACATCTTTGTTTTTGGATGTCTTTTAGTGAAAAGCCCCACCACCATGACAAGGTCTACCAAGAATTTACAAGACTTTTGGTAGCGGCCAACCATACTGAACATCCCTTTAGTTTCGTCAAGAATTCTTTACGCAAATTTAAGTTTTTTGTACAAACTTTTAATCGAATTTATTTAATGCCCTTCTCTTCTGTCAATCATAAATTTGTCTCTTCCAGAATGAATTACAAGAAATTATTTACTTTTCTCAGTTGCTTTTCATAGAACTAATTATGGAAATAATGCTTCAATTAATACTTAGTAGAGAAGCAAACTCAATTTCAAATTAAATTTACTTTTTTGATATTAATTTGACAAATTTCATCTCGGCGTTATGTAAATTAATACTGAATTTCTATCTATATCACGCCAATCTAGTTAATGTAATTAGTTTTTTAACTATTTTGTTACAATTGTATTTAGTTTTAAGAAGTACTATTCGTTAGTGAAACGATGAAAAAAAAGAAAATTGTTCATTTCTCAAATTTTCTCAATCGAATGCAGCACTAAATTGATAAAATGTAAAAGTAAAACATTAATAGTCTTCTTCATTACAGATTAATTACTTAGAAAATTAATTGCAAATTGAATCTTGAATTTCAAAAATGATTCAACTCGAAAAAGCGTCATTTTTCATAACAATTATTAATAATAAAAATGACTCACGGTTTTTAGAGTTGAATTTTTGAAATTCACAATTCAATCATTTATTATTAATTTATTGTTTAATACCTCCACCACCGTCAGCTTGAACAACAGTTTCTAGTGTATCTAATACAACGAGTGATGCTTCTGCTGCTAAAGCTCCTTCAATATGTGCATCTTGTTCTACTGCTTTTCCCTCAGGTTGTTCGGAAGATCTGTTCATTAAAAATATTGATATTTAGTTCCACACGTTGCTGTTTCTAAGTGGGGACAAATAAATTTGCATCAAGGAAATTTGTTTTTCAGGAAAAAAGCAGGATTTAAAAATCTTCTAAAGTTAGGGAAGTTTTTGAACATTGGGAACAAAATAACACAAAAAATACATAAAATATAGCGACACATTGGGAATAATTTGATTCACAATGAAAAGAACAGGATTAACGAAATTAATATTACCTGTAGGGCATTTGATCCTTTCTCCATCTCAATTTATCTCCAACAACTCTTTCCTTTCTTCTCATCATCATTTCACTTCTGGCACTTCCTTGGCCAAGAATAACGTCTTCCAATCTTGAGCGAATATCACTTGTTGCTGAAGATTGTTGTGGTAATCGTTTCAATGCCTTTTTTCCCTTATATTCGAAAGCTGCATTAGAAATATTTAATACTTGAAGAAGACTCAAAAGACGTCTCACACTTAATTCTGAACACCATTGCATCAAAGCACTTTTATCGAGAGATTTAAGAAGCCAAAGAGTACACATTAAAAGATGTCTAGTGGCTTCCGAACTAAGAAACACTCGACACTGAGCTCCAACAACTTCTGCTGATGCTCCACCTGCAATTGCTATCGCCACACACTGAGTTATTGAACCTTGATCATCAGTGTAAACACTTTTCTCCTTTGAATCCCAATGATAAAGTTGTGGAAGAGCATTCATAACAATATTCAATAGTGGCAAATACAAAGCGGCGACTCGCGCTTTCGAAACACTATCAGAATATCGTGGATCAACATCATGTAAGTTCATTAAATAGCGAATAGTACTGATAGCCTTGTTTTGAAGCATTGGATTTGGAATTTCTAAAGTGTATGACAAATCTGATAAAACAAGTCCAACGAGAAAATGTTGCTGTCTAAATTCTTGGCTCAATTCAGAGAAACGCGCTCGATCACCAGGCACAAGTGTCGATATAAAACTACCAGAACTACCTGTCGAAGGACTCGGACTAACAGGCGCCGATCCAGATGTATATCCCGTTCCAAATGGTAAATTCAAAGGAACATAGTGCTCATGTGTACAAACGGTTTTCACCAAATCCAGTTTTAAAGCATAAAGAGCAGCTGAATCTTGCACTTGTATAGAAGCTTCAGAAAGTGTTGAGCAAGTTGTTTTCAACAAAGACAAAACAAAACCACGATCCATTAGTGACATAAGATCAGAGAGAAAATTACCAAGACTTGAAATTAAATTCATTGAAACTTTATTATCCTTTCCACAATGGGCTATCACTTCCGATGAAATAGCAGCCACTAGTGTTGCAATATCATCACAAAATTGTGGTGAAAATCTACTTTTTCTCACTGCATCAAGTGTTCCTAATTCCGACAATGTTACAGCCATAGATCGTACTATTAATTCCAAAAAGAACCACGAATGTAAAGTAGCAAGTTCTCGTGATTGTCCCGTCGATACAATCCAATGAAGACATAATTCCTCATGCAAAAGCCTTCTCGATGTATTACTATTCACTGACTGTGTTTCCTGACGCATTGAAGCCGTTCTATCCAATCCACGGGAATGTATTTCCATCTCAAGATCCTCCAATGGCAGATCTGGATTACTTTGAGCTCGCATCATTAAAGGACGAAGAAAATGTGGCACTGGTGGTAATGTACACTGATAACTTGTATAAGTCGCCAATAACGCGTGCCGTCCATAGGCATCAATTTGACCATCAGGTAAATTTGTCACATTCCTCACTAATAGTCCAATAGCTTCAAAAACAGTTGCTGCAATATTTAACGGCTGCGAAGGCAAAGTTGGCGGACAAACAAGAATTGAAATTAACTGATCAAAAAGCTGTGGCATCGATCTTACTAGCGCTGAATTTGAAGCACGAGCCAATCCCAATAGTGCCGATTTCAATTCTGATTCCATGCCAGATTCACCAATTCGCGGTGGTACGTGACCAGTTTCCAATGAATTGCACAATGACAAAAAACGATCAATATATTTATCTTGTGCATGAACACTCGAAATGGGTTCTAGAATAAGAGTAAAAACACCACGATGGGCGTCTATCCATTTAGTACCCGGTAAAAGTACATCAGGTGCAATGTATGAATAATTAGCAGGTGGAGGATCTAACATTGCCGGTAAATTAAATTCACCAAATTGTAAATGTCCCTCACGCAACAATGGTAACCATGTGTAGGCAACGGGTGTTTCTACACTTGTTTGCTCAATTTTTTTCTGACAACTAATATGATAAAATGTAAATAATAAATGATGATTTGCATTTAAATCGGCGGGAAGACGAATTTTCACTTCATCATAAAAATTTGGATTTTTATTGTGATATGAAACTGATGTGATATATTCGTGAGTCATTTCTGGACACGATGAACGACCAAAAATTGCCATCAATGCATTTTCCTCTTGTTCACCTTCCATTATTTGTATTCGAACGGCAATATTTCGTGCTGAACCTGTTCTTGAGCTGAAATTAGCTTCCTGTAATTGAAAAAATTGTCCTTTTTCTTTCTAGTCTAAAAAGGTAATTAAAAATTGTATTTTGTTATTTACCTTTGGGTATATGTATAAAAGATTTCGATATGTAAGATCGGGTAAAATAACATCATTTCGAAATTCGAGAATTTCTTTAACAGGGCGACTTTTCTCGTCAGGATACGGTGTAAGTCTTCTTAGATCAGGATCTAAACATCGTGGAAGATCTTCTGGTTTAGGACTCAAATCTAGTTTCAAGATACCAGGTAGGCATTTAAGTCGCTTTAAATTTGAACCTGGCCGACGAATCTCAACTAATAGTTTGTACAAGTCTTCATCTCTTAGCCTTTCGGCTTCTTGTTTGAAAAAACTCGATACTGTCAATGTAATAGGTCTATAAAGGAAAATTTTAATTATTTAATGAACTGCAATAACTTATTTAAACGTTTAAGAATCAATCTGTGTTTTATCAAAAGCAAGAAACTTTCAGTCATTTTTTTTACAGCCAGAAGTTTTTAATCAAAAACAAAATGTACAGATAACTTTTATAGAAAGGCCGTTAAGTTGTTAGAAGAAATTATTTTTAATTACAGAAGGTGCTAGAGAAAGATTTTGTTTTTTTGACAAAATCTTTAAAACAGGGAAAAATATAGTTTTACCTAAAACTTTCGAAGCAGTTGGCAAAATCATCGGGAGACCAACTGCGTCTTTTATCTGAATTTCTTCTTTCGAGAGAACCTCTTCTGGTACATGGTTCCACTTTTTTTCGCCATTGCTCTAAACTTCCAGATTTTCTGTCTAGGGAACCTACGCTTGTTGTATTTTCCATATCGCTTCCTCCAGTGACTACTCCAGAAAGATGTATTGCAGTCCAAGCTAGAGGCATTCGATATCGACCAAGACGTTCACAAGCTGCTGACGCTGCAACTCGTACCTTAAAGAAAAAAGTAAACACATCAAGAACCTCTGTCTAGTGCATTATATACTTATTCGATGAGAAGCAAGGAATAGAGAATGATTATATTTTTCAAAAATTGTGTTTGTCTAATATTAATCTAATATAATTCTTAATTGGCCTAATCTTAATGTTACCTAATTCTCTTTGGCCTAAACTTCATTTGTCACCCGCTCATGAACGCAAAACATGAGAGAGAAAATGACAAAACATATTTTTGCTCTTTTCTCTCTTATGAGTCACGTTCATAAGCGAGCGACAAATGAAGTTTAGGCCAAGTGAGAATTAGATCAAATGAGGATTAGGCCAAAAGAGAATTAAGTTACATTAAGATTAGGCCAATTAAGAATTATGTTATAATAATATTAGAACAAGTAACAATTAGGATAATGTAAAATTAGGCCAAATGAAAATTGAGTCAGATAAATATTAGAACAAATAAAAATTAGGTTATAGTATGATTAGGACAAATGAGAATTATGTTTTATAAAGATTAGATCAAATGAAAATTAGTTTAAGCAGCGTTTAGTCCAAATGATAATTATGCCAGAAGAAAATTATTTCAAATGATAATTATGCATGGGAAATGGTGTTTAGGCCAAGTAATAATTAGGTCAAATAAAAATGAGGCTAAAAAGGTATTAGGTTACAGAAAATGTAGGCCAAGTGATATTTAGGGCAGATAAATATTACGTTAAATAAGAATTAGGTTAAATTAAGATTATGCCAAATGAGAATTAAGACAAATGAGGATTATATTGAATAAAGATTAGAATAAATAATAATTAGGTCATATACAAATTAGGCAAAGTAATAATTAGTTCATACGACTTTTAGGTCAATTAAGTTTTAAGCCATTTGAAATTTGGAGAAAATTCATGCGTCTCTTAAGTTTTATTTGTAAATTTCTTATCGATTCTACAAGAAGAAACATTTGTTTCACCAAAACCATGTTTCTTTTCTTTAGTATAAATTGTTTATTTTTTCCTTTTAGAACCAATAATGAAATCCTAAAACTTAAATGGTCAACACTTGCAGGTTGCACTTTGAAATTTACAAAATTCATAGAAACCGAAAACATTTACAAGCAATAAATGTAAAAAATACAACCGTAAAATCGACACAAAATTCTATGAGTGCATCCTTAAGATGTTGACCACTGTGCTCGGAGAAAATTTGTTCCGGATATTTTACTGAATTTTAACTGAAAGTTGGGATATAGTTGCACAAAAGGAATGTTTCAAAATATTTTTTTTATTTTTTGTAGTGATGATAGTTAAAACTTGATATGATATTTTAATTTATTACAAGCTAGTACTGTAAATATATGGAAAATTTGAATCATTAAACATTGGTTTATATTACGATAACTATAGCCAGCTCTCCTGAGTATTTCCTTTCTGAGCACTACATAATTCAAGTCCAGTTCGGTAAAACTTATGTACAATTCTAATCGTATTTGTTTTCAGGATTGAAGTACTTTTTTATCAACTTATACCTTTTATTTATATATATATTATTATTATTATTATTACACAGTCTTTTTTCAATTTTTCAGAAAACATAATAAAAATTATTTTAATTCATTAACTATTATTATAGGTGAAATAAACAAAAAATTTAATTTTGCTCAGATGTATTTTCAAACTAAATCATATTTTTAAATTAAATTTTAGGGAAAATAATTTATTTTTAATATACAAACAAAATAATTTTTTTTATTAATTTGTTTCTATTTAAATCACAAATAAATTTTAAATAAAAATTTCAGAAAAAATGAATTAATTACTTAAAAAAAATAAGTTTGCTTCCTAATTTTGTCATATGTAGTCTTAAAATTAGTTGTCATATTCAGAAATAATTGAATCTAAATTATTTTATTTTTTTTTTCAATAAATTGTTTGAACGTTTCTCACAAGCGGTAAACTAAAATCCTGATTAATATATATAAGGACAGGTCAAACCTTCTGAAGCAATGTAAAGCGAGCGATTATATGTATTGCGTTATTTTATATGTATGCGTTTAGTATGTATTACGTTAAATAAAAATGTGTTGCGTGTATTAGGTGTAAGGTTAACATGCTGTACTGTTTCAATTCGTATATGTGAGTATCAAATTGTAAACCATCAGAGAATCATTAAAGTAGGTGAATTGAGATTTCCAGTAATGGTAATATTTATTTTTTATATTTCTGCCTGAAGTTTTACCGAACTCTTCATTAATAATTTAAATAATTTATGAAATTTCAATTCTGCTTTATCAAAAACGGACCTTAATATTCTTAGCTATTGTTCTAGTTTATGTACTGCCAGTACCTTACGGTTTCCCGAACTGAACTTGAGACACTAATATATGTGTTATAATATTTTATGCCTTTTGAATTACAGTTTTATGAAATTCATTTTACTGTACTAATTATTGAAAATTACCGTTTTGCTGTTTTATCCCAATTTTACCAAACTAAGTTCAGTAAAACTCTCGGAACAAATTTTCTCCGTGTGGTTCTTTTCAAAATATTCAAATTCTTCCAAATTCTATCTTTAAGTTCCAGTTCAAGATATCATTCAAATTTATATCAATTTAACTTGGTATATCACGAATTCGATTTTGAAACGAAATTTGAATGAGATTTTTATTGCTACTTCTCATAGTAAAAAGAGAGGAGGAATTGTTAAAAGATTGGTAAGAAAAGTGTCATTGCAAAATATTCATGGCAGATCGACAATAAATAATGTTAATAAAATATTTAGTTTTTGAGAAAATAATATAAAATTAGCTTTATAAAGTTGAATAGTGTTCAATTACTCGGATTTTATTCAGAATTTAAAGCAGAAAATTTTTTAAGTTTTACTCATTATTTTACGACATAACATTTAAATTTCTTCGTTTATATTACAATATCAAATAAAATTTAAAAGAAATCAAAGTCTTACCTTGTCTTTATTTTTATCGTCTCGAAAATATGGTTCTGCACACTCCGTAATATCTCCCTGCAGTACTTTCTCTAATCTTATCACCAAAAATAGATCTGAACTCGGTTTATTTATATTAAAAACACAACTTCTAGCTAAAGTACTTGTATCACTATATGCGACATGACTTCCCAACATTTTCTTAATTCCCTCAGAATTCATATCCACGTAAAAGTTCTCTGAAACCTTAAAAAGAATTTTATAAATCCCTACTGATAGGATTTTAAAATTGCTAATATATAAATATTGAAATTATTTATTTAATATACCTTTTTCTTTTCTTTTGCATCATATAATGCTAAGCTGGCAAAAATTGGTTCAACCTCAAGTTCCAATTTTAATTGAAGACACTTGACAAGAATTTTATGGGAAAAAGATTCAGATGGTTCTAAAGCCGCATTAATTTCATGCCATTCATCGTCTAATGAAGCAGGTGGTGAGTATAGAGGAAAGAATGCTTCCTGAAATATCAAATAAATAAGAAATTATTCAAAAATAATATAATAATAAAATTGTAAAAAATGATCACCACCTGTCGATCTTCCAAGCGTTTTTGTTCATTCATTTGATCAACTATTTCAGGACAAACACGTTCTAGTATATTTGGAAAGAGAGGATCATGTTGAGAATGTCGTAGATCTAAACTTGCCCAGGAACCACGTGGCGTACTTCCACAATTCGAAAATTCATCATCTTCGTTAGGAGAAGTGGAGCAATGGGTCTCATCCTGATCCACCTGATAAAAAATATTGAGAACTTGAATGTTTATTCAATATATATATAATTAATAAAAGAAAAATTTATAAAAACCTCGAAATCTTGTTTTGGTATATCTTGAAGTAGTTTATCACGTGCAATAGAAGCGGCTCTTGCTTTAAATTTTCTATGTACAACAACCCAATCTGATGTAAAAGTCTTGATACATTTTCTTACATACGGCGATACTGTGTCCCTAAAAAAATAATTAACCCCTTGAGTTCTACGACAAAATACATTTTCGTTTAATAATATTGGGAGCAGTAATAAAAAAAACTTGTTTTCGACAATTTTAGATTTTTAACGAAGTATTTCGTTAGAAGCAAGAATCCCCTGGAAATTAAAATGAATTACTGAGATAGGGTAAATGTCCCTATTACCGATGCTTTAATTTCATTGAAAAAAAATCCTAACACCCGTATACCAGGAATTGACTAATTTGCCTGGTTACGACAGGAACCCACTAGACAATCTTGGTCAAAGTTGATTTCGAAAATTAGTCAGAATGACTATAGGGAACATTATCAGAATAACCAGGTATCTTAGTTACATTGGCTAGAATCACTTTGACTTAATAAATTTTAGCAAAATTGACTATAGATACATGTCATATTAACCAAAAATCTTAGTTAATATAACTAGGAAACAATATTAACCTCCCTGGTAAAAAAGTCGGGTAAGTTTCGTATCAAATTCGGACAGAATAGACTGGATAAGTGGGAAAAATGTACGAAATAATTACGAAAGTTATCGGCATTAGTATGAAATTAGTCTGAACAAAACGACAAATCCAAAATTAGACGGCATTAATCTGGAATATCTACGAAAACAAACCGCAATCTGTCCGAAACAATCCAAATGCGAATCCGAAAAAAACGAATCAGCAATTAATAAGAAAAAATCCGAAAATAGTATTAGCAAAATATGAAAACAATCCGCTTCACTTCGAATTCAGCCCGAACAAAAAACTTAATCCGACATAATAGTGAAATAATCTGGAAATTGTATGCACAATATTCGCAAACAGTCCGCAATAATACGAAATTAGTTCAGTTCAAAAATATAAGTCCAAACCAAGAACGAAACATTCTGAATTTAGTATGTGAAGAATCCAGTTTCAGTCCGCATCAATCAGCAAATAGTTAAGCAGAGTCATATTTCGAAATTACATTGAATCAATACGAAATCAGTATGCAAATTGAATACGGTTTTGCTCTGAAACGATCCGATTTATATATGACTGAAACACGGCATCAAGACACAAATCCGGAATAATCTGTAACTTGTACGTAATTTAGTTGCAAGCAGTCCGCAATAGTACGAAATTAGTTGGTAAATATCTTTAATCGAATTGAGTACGAAACAATTCGATTGAAGTATGTAGTAGATCTGGTTTTGGTCCGCTTTAATCCGAAATTAGTCTGGGAAATTCTTAATCGGAAATTGTGTTAAATCAATCCGAAATTAATATGCATATATAGTACGATAATGCTCTGAATCTATCCGATTTATATATGACTAACGCACGGCAACCCTTGGTAAAAAATTGGTCTGGATTAGCCTGAAAAGTGTACGAAACAAGTACGATAATGATCCGCGATAGTCTGAAATCAGTTCGACTAAAATAATAAATCCTAAGTTAGACCGGAATAATCTGGAATGACTATGAAATCAGTCCGCTATAATCCGAATATGAATCCTGAAAAAATTAAATCAGGAAATACTACTGAACAATCCAAAACCTGTAAGCAAAGAATCTGAAAGTAATACGCATCACTTTGAAATCAGTCCGAACAAAATAGCGTAGTCCGAATTTTCACTGTGGTAATCCGAAACTTTTATGTATAAAATCCGCAAACACTCCGTAACAATCTGCATTTAATATACTTAAAAAACTTCGTTAAAATTAAGTATGAAACGATCCGAAATCCGTATGTGAAGAATCAAGAATAGGTCTGTATCAATCCGAAATTAGTCTTGCTAAACCATATTCCGTATTGAGGCCGGAACAAATCCGAAATTTGTATGCAGCAAATTCGGTAAATGTCAGAAACAATCGGAATTATATCTGATAGAAACGCGATAATTCGCAATGAGCCCAGAATAATCCGGAACTTGTACGTAGACTATCCGCAACAATCCGAATTCAGTATGTGAAAAATCCGGAATTAGTCCGTATTAATCCGAAATCAATCCGGTTTATAATTCCAGTAAATCCGGAATTAGTCCGGTATAATCCAAAATTAATCCGAATTATTATTCCAGTAAATCCGGAATTAGTCCGGTTAAGCCTGAAATTAATCAGGTCTGTGAATATAGTAAATCCGAAATTAGTCTGGTTTAATCTGTAATTAGTCTGCAACAATCAAGATTTATGAAAATTGTCTACTCTGGATTCATTGCGAGTTGTCGTGTTTTTAACAGATATAATTTGGCCTGTTAAAGACTATTAACAGATGATTTGCATACGAATCTCGGATTGTTCCAACTCATTTTCGAAGTAGGGTTTAAACATACTCATTTCAGGCTTAACCGGACTAATTCCGGATTTACTGGAATAATAATTCGGAATAATTTCGGATTATACCGGAATAATTCCGGATTTACTGGAATTATAAACCGGATTTATTTCGGATTAATACGGACTAATTCCGGATTTTTCACATACTGAATTCGGATTGTTGCGGATAGTCTACGTACAAGTTCCGGATTATTCTGGGCTCATTGCGAATTATCGCGTTTCTATCAGATATAATTCCGATTGTTTCTGACATTTACCGAATTTGCTGCATACAAATTTCGGATTTGTTCCGGCCTCAATACGGAATATGGTTTAGCAAGACTAATTTCGGATTGATACCGACTATGTAAGTGAATATTTATATCAATAAAAGTAGAAAATTTTAATAAATCTTGATTGTTGCAGACTAATTACAGATTAATTTCAGATTAAACCGGACTAATTTCGGATTTACCATATTCACAGACCAGATTAATTTCCGATTCAATCGGACTAATTCCGGATATTCTGGATTCATAAACCAGATTAATTTCGGATTAAACATGACTAATTCCGGATTTTCTTGATTCATAAACCGGATTAATTTCGGATTAAACAGGACTAATTCCGGATTTACTGGTATAATAAACCGGATTAATTTCGGATTTAACGGGACTAATTCAGGATTGTATAGATTCATAGACCGGGTTAATTTCGGATTTATGTGGATTAATGACTGATTTACTTGATTCATAGACCAGACTAATTCCAGATTTATGGGAACCGTTTGCGGATTGCCAACAGACAAGTTTTGTATTATTTCTGACTTATATCGGATTAAGGTTTTTAAATGGATTAAATCCAGACATTTGCGAACTATTTTCGCACATATTTCCGATTATACTTTTTCTTCGGACAGATTTCGAACAATTGTGGAGAATTTTCGTATAGTTTTCGAAACAATCCGGACTTTCTTATCAGATTTAATGCAAAACTAGTCTGAAATTTTAAGTTTCTTTTTCTGCCGCATGGTGCGGCTTTCTCACAAGTGAGAAGAGTCTGACATTCTATAAAAGCCGTGCCGTGTGGAAGACGTGTATGTCTAGAGAAATTTGTAGTTCTCTTTTTCTCTCAAGGAGAGGTCTGTGGTTATTAGTAATACAGACTGCATTAATTCCGGACTTAACCGGGAAAATTCCAGATTCTGAGAACCCCACAAATTCCGGATCTACTAGATTCATATATCCGTTTAATTTAGGATTCAACCGGACTAATTCCGGATTTTCGGGATCCATAAACCGGATTACTTTCGGATTAAACCGGACTATTTCCGGATTCACTTATTACACAAATGAGACTAATATCGTATAAGACCGGATTAATTTCAAAGTTAGTAGTTACATAAATCGCACCAATTTCGATTTGAATCGGACAAATTTCGGATGATTAAAATCTTACCATAAACCGGACTATTTCCGAATAGTTCCGGATTTACTATTAAGAGAAAACGGATTCTTTCCGTACTTGACTGGACCAATTCCACATTTACTGTTTACGGACAATCGGACTAACTCCGGATTAGACCAGACTAATATTGGATTCACTAATTAATCGCACCCCGTATTGGTTTCAGACTTAATCGAACCAATTCCGGGTGACAAAAACCTGACCAGAAACCGCATTGTTTCATACTAATTGCGGATTAGTCCGATATCAATCCGAAATTTTAACCAGGGCTTGCTACATAACTGAATTAACTAGGATTCTTGGTTACGCTGACTAGATTTAAAGTTGCTATGGTTAATAGTCATTAATGCGAAGCAAATTTTTTTCAGTGTTCTTTTCTACTTAATAAAATATTGTGACAGTAAAAAAAGTAATATAAAATTTTTAATGGAATATTTGATATTCTGTTAATGAAGTGAGTTATTTGTAATATATCTTAAACCTAAATTTATTTGTTAAATAAATTATTGAAAAATTTGTCACGATTTTGCGAAAATTCAATTGTTTTCTTACGAAAACAGCTAAGAAAGCGCCCTTTTAACATATCATTTTTAAATGTGTTTAAATATATCTTTTCAAATGCAAATATTTTTATAATATTACAGTTATTGTATATTATGTTTAAAAATGAATAGATTTAGTTAGTCTTTTAAATTTTTACACAAATTATTTTTTAAATAAAAGCTGTCTTGGAAGACAGCTAAAATCATACCTGTATATAAGGAAGGTGATAAATCAGATTGCAAAAACTACCGCCCTATAGTTATTATTTCAAATTTTGCCAAAGTTTTTGAGACCTGTATATTACCAGTAGTTAATAGTGCAATTAAAACAATCGTCTGTGACAACCAACATAGATGTATACCCAAACGTTCTACCGTTACAAATCTAGCTTGTCTTATACATTTTATTAGAAAATCATTCCAAATGGGTTGTCAAGTCGATGTAGTTTACTTAGATTTTGCAAAGGCTTTTGACACAATTGACCATGACATTTTGGAATCAAAACTGGAATTGCTAAATTTACCTATAAATATTAGGCTTTTAATTATGAATTATTTGAAAAATAGAATACATAAAGTTGTAATTTACATCAACGATATAATCGACAATTCGCTGCGGACACGGAAACACAGTGGCGCCTCTAGTGGCAATGTGGCGCATTTTTCGTTGGATACTTGTCAAATGTT